CTCTTCTTCCTCCAGTTACCTGGCACGGGCTTATCTGCCTACAGGAGAAGCCATCCCCCCAATTTGCACAGGGTAGGTACTTGAGGCGTCTTAATTGCAGCTCCACCTCTCTTTTCGGCCAGTGAAGTCAGCAGCCTGTCAAATTGTTTTTTAACTGCAGGGGCAGCCGTGGTGGGGTGTAACTCATATTCGCCTCTTCAGGGGTGTGTGGAATCAAACCCCCAGAGCTTGGCTAATTTGTGTTTCTTACTATTCCTGATCTGAAGCAGTCTTTCACGCACTTGTCAATAGTTTGCTACTCTTCTTTTGAAATAACTTTATTCCTTTATTTGGACAGTTCATCTGTTGGGAATGGCTCCTTGGGCATATATATCTATCTGTGTTAATTCCCTGTAAAAATGTAAATGGCGATGGTTTAGAGCCTGTGAGAAGAGCCGGCCTTATGCTCGGTCTATGACAGTTACCAGCGATGTGACCCCCGGCTTGTTCTCCCTCACTTGGCCTATTTCCACGTGGAACCGTGGAACGTGGGGACAAAAAGTCCCAGCCTGCCTATCTTACACAGGATTGTTGGGAGGGTCCCTAAGTAGAAAACAAGCCCCAGAGGGCAGGGACAAGTGAGTTTTATGGGTTTGTTTTGGTCTTTGGATCCCCACTATCTAGATCCATTCCTTGTGCGTTGGAGATGCTTAAAAAATGACGGTTAAATTGAATCGACTCATCAGATCATCCACCCAGAGAGGAAAGCCATCTCAAAGGTGGTCCTTACCCTGGGCTCTGTAACCTTGGCGTTGTTTGGTTTTCAGTGTTTTGCTAACTTCATTTCCATGTAATGGATTTCCTTTATAATCCTATGTATTTTATTTGATGCCGTGATAGCCAGAATTTTGAGCCAGGCATGGTGGCACAAAATGCTTGCTGCTGAGGCAGGGTAAGAATCTCCGATATAGGCCAGCGAGGCTTAGGGTTGGACTAGTCCCAAGGAGAAGTGAGTGCCCCAGAGCATGCAAGATGCAAACTTAGGTTTTCTGAAGCGCTATTCCGTGCCCTTCCCATCATGCCACGCTATGTCCCCCATCAAATGAAATCATAATGTAAAGTGCCCTAGGATTATTCATTTCTTTCAGAGTTCAGTGCAAAAGCTGCCTTTTCACAAAGCCCTCTCTGCTCTTCTCGGATTGACTGAGACGGGGTACGCCTGAACACTGAAATCATGCACGGTCTGGTTAGGGGGAACGTGGCAGCCTCCCCTGGGACCTTGTACCCTGGGTGTGTGGGCGTGTGTGCACGAGCGCGCGTGTTGCAGCGTGTAGCAGCATGTTGTGCTGCTAGAAGACAAAGACTGGTCCATTTCCTCTTTGTGGATAAGAGGCTTATGGATGGGTACAAAGCACCCTCTTAAATGAGAAGGTAAGTAAGCTCCTCTGTAAGGAGGGGAATGAAGCTTTCACCTGTCTTTGTATCCTCTTCCACGTCCTCCACGTCTGGTACATAGTGGATACTAAATAAGCGCACGTGGATCGATGGATTGACAGTATCCTCCCTAATCATCTTCTAGTTAGTTCCCCTGCTTTCTCTTGTTTTTTTCTCTTTATTTTGGTAGAGTCTCCACAGGGCAGCGCAGCAGCCCGAGCCCAGAAGGCCCCCCTTGGATAGACACAGGCTGTGGGACCGTGGGCAGACACTTCACCTCCACGGCAGACACTTCTCTAAAACCCCTTACGTTGCAGAAACTTCCCCTTTATCCCACATGTGCCTCATTTGTACATAATTGTGCCCGTGTTGTCTCTTCCATTCAACTGAGAGCTCCTCAAGGGCACTGAATGTCTTTTGCCTCTCTGTCAGTGCTTTGCACAGTGCCTGGCACATAGTAGGTGCTTAATAAATGTTTATTGGCTGACTGATTGGCCTGCATTGATAGAGAGTTTTGTCCTGCAGTTCTCTAACCAATGAAACCACAGGTTCAAATGCTATCCTATATTTCTATATGTACCTATTGTCTCCCTTATTAGAATGTAAGCTCCTAGAGGGCAGGAATTGTTGCCCTTTTTGTCTTTTTACCACCAGCACCTAACACAGTGCATGCATGACACATAGTAGGTGATTAATAAATGCTTGCCAACAGATTCAGCGCTTTTTTTTTTTTAGTTAGGCAATTGGGGTTAAGTGACTTGCCCAGAGTCACATAGCTAGGAAGTATTATGTGTCTGAGGCCATATTTGAACTCAGGTTCTCCTGACTCCACGGCCGGTGCTCTATCCACTGCACCACCTAGCTGCCCCAGATTCAGTGCTTTTAAATACTTTGTTCAGTTCTAGAATATGTTTGCTGAAGCCAATTGTTTTATTCTTGCTAATTTGGGTATTCTCAGAGCCTTGAAGTTACTCAATCAACAAGCATTTATTGAGTGCTTACTGTATGCCAGGCACTGTGATAAACACTGAGGGGACACACAAAGGCTACTTACAGTCTCTGCCCTCAAGGGCGGACACTCTAATGGGAGATACCAATATAGAAAAAAATCCATATGAAAAAAATGTTCTAAATCACGTTTGATTAGAGAAATGCAAATCAAAATGACTCTGAGGTACCACATCACACCTATCAGATTGGCCAACATGACAAAACAGGAAAATGATAAATGTTGGAGAAGATATGGGAAAATTGGAACACTAATGCATTGTTGGTGGAGTTGTGAAGTGATCCAACCATTTTGGAGAGTGATTTGGAACTATGTTCAAAGGGCTATAAAAATGTGCATACCCTTTGACCCAGAAATAGCATTTCTAGGTCTGTATCCCAAAGAGATCACACAGAAGGGAAAAGGACCCACATATACAAAAATATTTATAGCCCCTCTTTTTTTGGTCACAAAGAATTAGAAATTGAGGGGATGCTGATCAGTTGGGGAATGGCTGAGCAAGTTGTGGTATATGAATGTAATGGTATACTATTGTGCTATAAGAAATGATGAGCAGGGGCACTTCAGAAAAACCTGGAAAGACTTGTATGGACTGATGCTAAGTGAAGTAAATGGAACCAGGACAACGTTGTACACAGTAACAGCCACATTGTGCAATGACTGACTTTGATAGACTTAGCTCGTCTCAGCAATGCAAGGATCTAAGACAACTCCAAAAGTCTCATGATGGAAAATGCTGTCCACACCCAGAAAAAGAACTATGGAGTCTGAATGCAGATGGAAGCCAACTATTTGCTCTCCTTTTGTTTTGTTTTGTTTTATTGCTTCATTCTTATGGTTTCTCCCTTTAGTTCTAATTCTTCTTTACATCACGACTAATGTGAAAATATGCTTAACATGAATGTATACGTAGAGCTTCTATCAGATTGTATGCCTTGGGGTGGGGAGAAAGAAGTGGGAAGGGGAGAAAATTTAAAACTCAAAATCCTATGGAAGTGAATGTTGAAAACTAAAAATAAATAAATTAAATTTTTAAAAAAAGAAAAAAATCCACTATCTACTGAGATTTCTACAGAGTAGATGGAAGGAACCCGAAGCGGGGGGGCACCAGGAAAGGCCTGTTGCATAGGGTGAGTTCTGAGTCGCCTGGAAAGACACTGAGCCTTGTACATAACAAACACTGAATAAATGCTTTTTGGTTGACAGTTCCAAAGCAGGGTATCAAAGTAGGGTCTATGACTTAAAAAAACGATTTCAACATAATTGGTTTCCTTTGTAATGGCATGGGTTTTATTTCATGCATTTACCTTATGCACCTCATTCTGAGAAGGGGTCCACAGGCTTCACCAGACTGATGGATCACCAGAGGGGTCCAAGGCACAAAAACCCTTAAGAACTCAGGCTTGAAAGGATTCTGACACTGTCTTGCTATCTCCAGCACCCAATCCAGGGCCTGGACACAGTTTGTGTTTAATAAATGCTTCCAGGCTGGTTGTTTTAAAGCCTTCCATTCACTTGCAGAATGTCAACATGAATTTATTAGACACCGACTGTATACGGTTACCGGGGATACAAAGAAAGGTAAACCACAGGCCTTGCCTTCCAGACGCCCACACTCTAAGGGGAGAAACAACAGTTAAGTACATACAAGACAAAAACAGGGCGGGGGCCAGAGGGGGCATTTTGGCTGAGATGAAGGAAGCCTGGGCAGCAGAGGCCAGCTCAGGGAGCTCCCAGGCCTGGGAGAAGCTAGGAAGGGTTGGAGGAGTGTAAGCGCCCTGCAGGCAGCCACGGCTCACTCTGTGCTTTGTCCCTGGAGGCCACCAGGGGGCGCCGCAGTGCACAGAGCGCCAAAGTGGCCTCCCAGCTGGGTGACCTAGGGCAAATCCCTTGACTGCTGCCTGCCTCAGTTTCCTCGGCTGTTCAGAAATGATAATATTAGCACCTGGGAAGTGCCCAGTGACTTCTGGCACACAGTAGGCGTCCTGCAAATGCAGGTTATGATTATCCTCTCTGGACCCTAGCAGGGACCCTGGCACATAGGAGGTGCTTAATAAGTGCTTCACAGCATGGGGGGGTTGGTGGTGGTGCCACAGCAGGGACCCTGGCACATTGGAGGTGCTTAATAGGTGCTTCACAGCATGGGGGGGGGTTGGTGGTGGTGCCACAGCAGGGACCCTGGCACATTGGAGGTGCTTAATGAGTGTTTCATAGCATGAGGGGTGGGCGGGTGTTGGTGTGGTGCCGCAGCAGGGAGGGAGGCGCTTCCCAAGCTCCAAAGCGCCGGGGCCAGCCAGGGCCAGCCAGGGCCAGCCAAGACCAGCCAGAACCAGCCAGGACCCAGATGACGCAATCCCTTTTCTCAGCCCACGCACCCGAAAGGCGGGGGAGCACCCGGGCACGCGCACACTAGCGCAGGGCTCTCGCCGGAACTGCAGTTGTCACGGCGCTGACGTCACGGCTCTGCGGCGACCAATCGCAAACCGCCGAGTTCCCTCCATAGCCCAATGAGAGCTCCGCACGCCGGCCCCGCGAGGGAGGGGTGGGGAGGCCCCCGCCAGCGTGCGCACGCGCAGTGATGGGTCCGGGCCTGCGACTGGGCGCCCGTTGCTGGGCGCGCCTCCTGCCGTGGCTGAGGCCTCGCACCGGCGCGCGCTGGCCTGGCGCGAGGCCCCCGCTTCTGCAGGCGCACAGCCCGCCGGGCCGGGGCCTCGGTCTCGCCTCGGCCGTGGGGGCGCGCGGGCTCCAGAGCGGAGCGCGGCGGGACGAGGCCGACGCCCGAGCGGAGCGGGCCGCGGCAGGTACGGGCCGGCGCGGGGCCTTGGCAGCCGCTTCCGGTGTGGGGCCCGCCCCTTCCGGCTCGTGGCCTCGATCCCCGCTGTTGCCCAGCCGGGAAACTGAGGCCCGGGGGGAGGAGGGGAAGGGGAAAGGGGTGCGAGTGACTGGACCCCGGGATCGTGGGTCCCAGCCTTGGGCTTGGACTTAGGCCGCCTCCACGAGCCTCAGTTTGTCCATCCGTAACATGGGAGTCATCACGTCCTACCAGGGGGTTGCGAGCACGTGAAAAGCGCCGCATGAACAGAAACCGACCCGAGCCGGCGTCGGGGGGGGGGGGGGCTTGGAGAGGAGCCTTCAGGCAAGGGGAGCCCCGAGTGCACCCGAGCCACTGGGCTGTGGGCCGGTTAGGTCCCATCACCCCACGTGGGACCCGGCCACGGGTCGTGTAAAGGGGTCAGGGGGCGGCCCAGTGAGTTACTGTAGGGCAGGGCCAGCTCCTGCCCAGTTTGTTCCCCTAGCGCTTGACCCAGCCTGGCACGTAGTAGGAGCTTAATAAGTCCTTTTTGATTTGCTGTATCTGAGTCTCACACGACCGCTGCAGTTGGTGCTACAAATATTCTTCCCGTTTTACAAGTGAAGAAACTGAGTCACAGGGAGGCTATGGTCACAGAAAGAGCTTGTCAAAGGGAGGATTTAAACTCAGGTCTTCTGGCCCCAAGTCCACCGTTTTGTCCACTAGGTGCTGCTGCCTCCATATATTTTTAGAGGCAGCTGGTGTTGCACTGGTTAGAGTCAGGAGGACATAAATTCAAATCCAGCCTCAGACACTGGCTAGCAGCATGACCTTGGACACATCCTTTCACTTCTTCATCCCTTAGTTTCCTCAGTTGTAGAATTGGGATCATAGTAATACCTACTTCTCAGGGTTGTTGCGAGGATCAAATGAGATCATATTTGTGAAAAGAGCCTGGCACGTCCTAGGCGCTCTGTAAATACTTACTCCTGCCCCACTATAGCTAGGGCTCTTGGAGAGACTGACCCCTGGTTGGGGGCTAGCCTGGGCTGATTCCTGGATGGAGAGGAGGTGTGGTGACCCGTAGGCGGGAAGGAAGAGGCCACAAGCCTTCGTCTCGGACAAACCAGACTGGCCCTAGTCCTCGGTGGCAGCGTTATGGCCTGATGTCGGACCTTTGGCCCCCATTGTGTCTCACCCTCCACCCCCTTTTAAAATGGCTGTTTTCTGTGTTTTTAGCTAAGTGTTTTTGTAAGGGACTGTAAGTGCTAGTTATCACTGGCCTCATTTGGCCATGAGTCTCACCTGGGCTTTTAGCCCTGTTGCTGTGTTTCCCTACTTCACCTGTGTTCCAGTGGAAAATGGACTGCTCCGGGAGTCAGAGGACCTGGGTTCAGATCCCACCCCGAGAGTGCACTACCTCTGTGCACTTGGGCCAGGCTTTCATGTTCCTGGGCCCCAGTTTGCTCCTGTCTCATCGAGGTAGTTGGACTAGATGGTCTCTGGGTCCCTTCTGGCTTCAGAGCTGGGACCCAGTGAGCCTCACGTTCAGCCCCACCCTGGCTGGGCCTGCTGAGCCATCGAGGTTCAGGTGTGGCTCTGGTGACTTGACGTGTGAGGAGAACCTGGCTCAGCTCTTTGGGGGCGCACAGTCAGGCTCCTGCCTGCCTTGGGATAGAGCACACCTGCCTGGCCCTCTGGGTGGGTTCAAGGTGAGCAGAGGGGCCATCGTAGCCCTCGAGGTGTGCCTCAGTGTGGCTTGGGTCCTGTCAGGCTTTAGGGATGTTACCCTTTCCCCAAGAGAAACCGTCCCGCTTGACTCATCTGTGTGTTCCTTGAACCGACACTATTTAGCTGTGTGTGTGTCTCTTCCCATGATCACTTTGTGAGCACCTTGATGGCAGGGGCAATACCTTAGTGCTGGCTTTGGGGGAGAGAGGTTGTGCCGGGTGGGACAGGATGAAGGCAGAGGGTGTGAAACAAGGGTGAAGGATGTGTTTCTTGGTCTAGATTGTTTTGCTGGCACTCCATGGTGGATTTTTCTGCTGGTCTGAAGAGCCCTTAATTGGATAGAGCTGCTGCTTACCTAGATTTGTGTAACTGGAAACCTTTATGAGCAGCCTTAAAGTTCCCTTTTCTGATTGTATCCCAGTGTGAGAGAATCTTTGTGTTCTCCTGTGCTCATCTGAGGGTTTGTTATTAGTAGAGCTAAGGGGCCCCAGAGGATTCTGTACGGCAGGTCCAGTCTTTGGGGAGAAATCCTAGGCTGCCTGGCCCTCCTACGGGATCAGGGGGCCTAAGTGAATGCCTCCTTGCTGGTGGAGGTGGTCTCATAGTTACAATAACTTAGGTGTGTATTTCAGGTCATACGGGACCCAAATTTGACATCAACCTGCTTGTGTCTCTCTTGAGGCAAGAAAATGCAAGAGACATTTGTGTGATCCAGGTTTCTCCAGAACTGAAATATACAGATTACTTTGTGGTTGTGAGTGGATCCTCCCCGAGACACTTACAGGCTATGGCCCAGTACATAGTCAAGATGGTAAGTGGTGTCGTTCTTTCTTTTGTGCTGTTGGCTAAAAGGCCGTGTCATCACACCCAGTAGCTGATGAGGGGCTGAGAAATCAGCAGGGCCCTGTCTAGTCCAGAGCTTCCTGGAGTTTTGTCTTTTGACATGTGCTCATAGTATAGAAATTTCCAAGACTATATAGATGATGACCTTATGGGAGTCGTGTATAAGTGACTGCAGCCTGAAGGGGGAGAGAGATGAAGCCCCAAGCTTGCTTCTTTCCTACTGTATTGAGCTTTCCACTGAAATCTTGCCCTGATGGAAGTAATTTTGGGGAACAGTCTGGCAGATTGGTCACAGGAATAACCAAGACCACTGTACAGCTGGCCCCACCAGGGCCTGGAGCCTGCCATGAAGAGGTGTGTTCCCGTTGTTGGTGAGTGTTCTGCTCTGCACCTCAGTGAAGAAGGGATGTGTGTTGGGGTGCTCCATGTGGGTCACGTGGGTGCCGCTGGAGCAGATGGCAGGCAGGGGGGAGAGAGAGCTCTGGGTGTGGAGTCAGAATTTGGCCTTTCTTAGTTGCTGCCTGGGTGACCTGGACAACTTACTTAGCCTTTATGGGCCCCAGGTTCTCATTAATACAGTGTGAGGGAATTGGGTATCTAAGCTCCTGTGCAGTTCTCTATCTTGGGATGCTACATATCCTCAGGAGGAAGGAGGAGGGAAATGGACTGCTGATACTGCCTGTCAGCTTGGAGAATGGCCTCAGGGAAATCCTGAGCTAAGAGCCACTCTTCTAGGGGGTCCAGAAGACCCTAACGGTGTCTCACATGTCTGAAATGCAAGGAGGGTCGCAGGCTGAAATGATGCCCACCCTGACCTTGGTGTCCCATGTGGGGCAGTGGAGAAGTTCATCGTGGAGGCTCCATAGACGGGCCTGGTCCCTGCCTGAAGAGTGCCAACGCTTTTGTTAACGTGGGGTATACACCATAGTTGAATTGGTATTTTCAGAGTGGACTTTCTCAGTGGCTTTTCTCAGCCAAGAGAGTGCAGCTGAATATTGGCTCTCCCTTTACAAACTCCAGAGTGTTTCTGGAGTCTGACATTTTCTTTTTGGGTTTTAGGTAGAACACATCTGCCTCCCACATTAGAGTGCCTCAATTTGTTAATGTGTTCATTTGGAAGATGAGAGTGAATCAGAGCTCGGGGTTCCAGATTTGGCCCCTTCCCTTACAGTGGGAGCAGTCCAGTGCTTCTAGCTTTGAAGGGGGAGGATGGGAAAGGACCCTCACCCCTGGAGGATGGAATCCGCTAGAGCAGCTCCATCTTAGAAGGCCTGGCTGCCATTGTCTGGTGACCGCTGGGCAACTGAATTTCCTTTTCAGCTTTGGTGGGTTTTCTAGAACAGTTCTCTCATAATGGAGGCTACCTTTCCCCAAGTGAAAATACCCCTTTTGAGACATAAACACAATTTAAATGCCATGAGGACCTTGTAAAGAAGAGTGGTGTAGTTTGTGCTCATCTGGCTTTCTGTTCCAGCACAAGTTCCTGAAATCCAAGAATGACGCTTTTGTTCGGATTGAAGGGAAGGATGCAGATGATTGGCTGTGTGTGGACTTTGGTAAGTTTTGGGGGACACTTTACAGACATAAGTTGTTTCAGGGGTGATATATATCAAAGAAGTCTCTCAGCTGTTGCTGCAAACTTCTTTCAGACTATTTTCGATAGCCAGGAAGTAGGCCTTTGAGAGCAGCATGCCTGTCACCAAGGGAAAATGACTAAAATTTGTTTTAAAGGTTAAAACAAATATTTACAGAACAACCAACCAGGAAGCCTGGTGTTCAAACCTCCCCCTCCCCAAACATCACACTATACCTCCTCCCCACTTTGGACCCAGATGCTGAGGTGGGAGCTTGCACCATTCGTTCGTCCCTTCATTCATTCATTCATTCCACAAATGTTTAAAAGCCTGCTACATGCAAGGTGGTGTGCTTTGCTAGAGCATGGGGGGAGAGCAGAATCCAAAGATGAATGAGACATTCACTTCCTCCTGGGAGCATGCAGCCTAAGGGTAAAATATGATGGAAACGAGTGGACTGCGAGGGCGAGGATGGTATGTATGGGCATGGTGCAGACATGGAGCACTTCGAGGAGATGTCCTTCCCCCCCCCCCATCATTGCATAAGCAGCGGCAGCAGCCTTTGACCTAGGTCTTATCTTAACATGTGGATGGTCCTTTCTTTAATAAACACAGATGGAGGGGAAGGGAATGAGCCATGGCAGGAAACTGCAAAGCATATTCTAAGGATGGAGAAGTGTCTGTTTTGAGCACTGAATGGAGCCAGGACTCCTGGCCTCTAATCCCCATTTAGCTCCTTCCTAGCTCAGTGCCCATTGGCAAGGCGTTCCATCTCTCTGCCTTTGTTTCCTCATCTGTACCTTCCAGCGCTAAGATTTTGAGTCTGAGCTGGTGGGTGGGAGCTTTGATGGTGATGATGGAGCATGGTATGGGAGGTTAGTGACCAGAAAACTGACAAGATCAGAGAAACTTAGGACAGTGAATCTGGGAAAACAGTTGTTGGAGCAGGGAGGCTAAATACAAAGGGGTTGCAGTGGTCTTGGCCTAGAAAGGATGGATGTAAAAAACTCGGAAGGAAAAATTGGAAGGGCCTTGAGAACTTGATGAAGTAAGGGGAAGGAAAAAGTCAGAAAACTCCAGGCTGAAGCCTGGAGTTGACAGGGCTGGTGCGCTTTAACAGAAATAGGGAAGGTTGGGGAAGATGAGGAGTTCTGTGTTAATACACCTTGGGTTGGGAGTGACAGACCTTCAGGTGGGAGTGTTCAGGGGGTCACTAGAAGGGGCGTACTTCAATTCCGCCACCTGTGTGTTCAAATGAAGGAAACAAGGTCAGGTAGACTCCAAGAATGTTAGTGCTGGAAGGGTGATCTAGGCTCACCCCATCCTTTCTAGATGAGGAAACAGATCCAGAAGAGGTGAAAGTAGGAGCCCTGCTCACAAAATAAGGTCGCAGCTGAGCTGCTCTCTGCAGAGCCCTGGGCTGGGTGCAGGGAGAGAGAAAATGAGGAAGGCCTTGACAGCCAGGCCTTGTCCATCAGGTGCTCTTTCCACTCTCCTGGGGCAGAAAGACCAAGGAACAGGCCAGCGTGGGCCCTTTATGGCTTCCAGCTAACAACTGGACATAACCTCTTCATTTGTTTTTCATCTGAAATTGAGCTGTTCAAAGAGATAGCATATGGAAAGCTCATCTTTCCTTTCCAGTAAGTAAGAAATTGGAAGATGATGACTAAAGTACATGAGCCACCGTATTAGCCTGACTGGATTTGTTAAAAATTGTACATTTCATATTAATACCCCATTTAAAGTGATCTGTTTATGTCAGTACGTGTGTGTGTGTGTCTGACCGTCCCTGGTTATGTTACCTGTTTTCAGTAAATAATTTACATGTGTGTCTTTTGGCAGTTATGGTTTCCTAGTTTTCTGGGATTAAGAGCTTGGCTTCCTAATTGTTGTAGTGGCCCAGTTTTGATCAGCATTGGTAATTGATCAGATCGGGATTTTGATATAGCTACAAAATCAGTTTTTGAAAAAGGAACCACTGCTTTTGGGTGAATGTAAATTCTAATGCAAACATACATTTAAACTTTGAGTAGATGTATTGCTGAAATGAGAATGTGTATTTTATGGAGGGGCGGGGGATTAGTCTTGCTGATTAGTGGTTTAAATAGTCCTAGTAACCAGAAGAATTGTTTACAGTGAGGTAAACATAGGGAGTTTGTGTTTGAGAGGGACAGGCTACATTTTGTCTATGTTAGAGAGAGGTAAGTATGGTTTAGTCAAAAGAGTGGACTGAACCTGGAGCCCAGAAGCCTCCCTTCTAACCTAGGTGAAATCATTCAGCCTCTCTGTTTCACTATAGGGAAAACGAAGACATGACTGCTTGTGTTGTTTACTTTGCAGTGTTATTTTAAGGAAAACACTCATTAGCTAAAGAAGTGAGCTGTTTTCTGTGTGCAAACATGGTCAACCTGTGCCAGCATCTACACAGCTCTTTGGATACTGGTAATTTGCTTTAGCAGTAGTTACAGTAATTTCTAGTTGTCTGCAAAAAATTGGGTAAAGGCTTGGTTGATCTTTGAAGATATTAGGATAACTTAAGATTTCCTACCTCCACTCTTTCTCAGAATCCTTTCCCCCTTTTTGAAAGAAGACCAGGAAAGTTTGGGGTTAGAAAAATACTTTTGCTGGTTCTACACTGGTGGGGTGCATCACAGTGATGGGAAAAGTCAAATTCTTAAAAAATGAAAATTGCTTTTAGTGACCACCACCACTACTTAGATTCTAGAAATTAGCCTCTGATGGGAAGGTTGCTTCTTAGAGAAAAATGGTCATCTCTTTGTATAGCCTTAGTCTTGAATACTGTGCCTATTTAGACTGAGCAATAGCATTTGTACTCATCATTAGTTGGACCTTACAGAATCTAACTGGAAAATCCTTTGAATTTTCTTGAGAACCCACTTACGCCGAGGTGGGCTTTGGGTGTTCTCCACTCTCTTAAGCTAGAAGTGAAGAAGGCCTTGGAAGGGTCTCAGTCTGAATCGTTGCCAAAGCCCAGGTGGGTGTCCCTGGGAGTTAACTGTTCACAGACTCTGCTCCTTGAGTTGCTTCCTTTGGTAGTTGAGAAATCACAAGTCTGGGAGCAAGTCCAGTCCCTATTCTTCTCACAACTCTTTTATGTCCCTGACAGGCAGCATGGTGATTCATTTGATGCTTCCAGGGACCCGAGAAACCTACGAATTGGAAAAGTTATGGACTCTGGGCACTTACGATGATCAGTTAGCTCAGATCGCACCAGAGTCCCTGCCTGAAGACTTCATCTTTGGCTTTCCACCAGAGGAGGAGCCTTCGGCGGATTCTCCATTAGAGGCCGAGAGAGAATAAAGTAAGAGCTTTGAAGCAGCTCGAATTGGGCCGTGTTATTAGGAGGTTTTCTGTTTGGATATGCAGCCAATTAATCCACTAGGACACTTCTGAGTCCTCTCTGGAACGAGCATACTCTCACATGTACTCAATGTAGAAAACTCATGGAAAACAGAAAGCTTTGGAAACTGGGCTGTGGCAACAGTTAGGGACTGGCCTTCAGACAAGTTACCTCGAGCAAGAATTTCAGACTTCTCAGGAGATGTGTGATTTACGCACCCGAAGTTACTGAAATCGTTTCAACACATCTCCTGGTCCCTAATCAGTTTTGTGGAGTTGTTTGCCTGGCTTGACTTCTCACCTCTGGAGGAGTTGATTCTTATAGCATTTAAAGAACTCTCATAGAGAACTCTCTTTTCAGCTTACAAGTTTAGCATAATGCAGAAATGTCCTTTTGTTTAAGGAATGACTTACATGGGGATCATCTACACTGGGGCTTAATTTTTATTTTTGTTTGTGGAGAAGAGATGAAAACCTCCATGTGAAAAATAGGCAGCGTTTATGTACTATTTCTAGATTTGACATTGACAGAATGTGAAATAAAAAAAAATATTAACTAATAGGTGATTGGTTCTTAATTTCCAATTTATATAGTTTGCCCCTTGACCCTGAATTTAAGGTACCATAGTTTTAGCTGTAAGCTTGTTGATAAGAGTTTAGAGTATGACTATATTTATCCCCTTCTTCTGAATGCCTTTCCACATTAATAGTTGTAGAATTTAAGTCCTGCATGTTTCAGAGCCTATTAACTGCCACCAATTGGAGGAAAAAATTAATTCAGTGGCATTCCGTTTTGTGACTCTGGCTAACTAACTAATGACAGATGTTAATCTGAAGAGCCACAAAACAGTATACTCTAGAGAGACGGGACCAACAATAATCTAATATAAAAATTAGAGTTTAATATAGAATAATATTCGAATGTAGAAATTCAGAGGCTTCAAAAGAGCTGTAGCTTATGGGTGAAACCTGCAGTTTGTAAAGCATTGCCTGAGTTTCCCTTCTCTTATTTAGTTGATCTGTTTAACAAATTTAAGTAAACCCTAGGCTTACCAAACATTTATCAGTGGGGCATGTTCTAAAATAAAATTCAAAACTCTGCTTTGATACTAGTTAAATTTCCCACCTTCCCCTACAGCAATTATGAAACTCGGCTTCAGGAAGCCAGTTAGCAGAATGAGATGGGAGGAGGGCTCTGTGATATTCTGAAGTCTTTTTCAAGGCTGCCATAAACCAGCTCACATTCTGATTTTGAGAACCTGATAAGTGATCTTAAAGCCTCAATGAGCTCCAGGTTTCCTTGAGTCTGTAAAGTAAAAGGAAGGAGATTTGCATCCTAAATCTTCCCTTTTCTATCTACCAAGACTAACAGACAAGTATAGGTATTTCTGGAGGAAGGTGTTCATAACTCTGACCTTACAGATCCAACTGGTGGACTGGTGCTTCTAGCTCACCAAATCCCCCCTGGCCAAAACTGCTTAGAGGTCTCTAGTTGTTTAGAATGACAGAGCTTTCTTCCCTAAACCAGAAGTGTTTGGTTGTCAAAACTGAGACTGGACACAAGCTGTAAGAGATTGGTCCAGAATTTTGGTCTCTGTCTCAAAAAAAGCCCTTTTCCCCTTAACCAGTTAGAATACCAGCAATGGAATTTTTCTACCGTGTATCAGAGGTGTGTTGTACAACCACAACTGTGCTACCTAATCTTTGCATTTTAAAAGGTAATTTCCAGCTTAAAAAAAAAAAGAAATCCCTGCTGGCATTCAAATCTGTCAACTTTCACACCAGAGTTACATACACACCATGAGCCATGGTGGGAGTAAGTGGGCCTGGGTTAGAGGAGGAGACACCCTGGAGGCATCTGGAGAAGAGCAACTGTCTTTGAGCTGGCTGTGCACCTAAGGAAACCTTTCTTTTTCCAGGACAGACAGATCCCTGCCTGCACTTCGCCAGTGAATGTGTCTGATCTCCCAGCCCCTCTGGGACCTCCCTGAATATCAGACAGAAAAGTAGTGCTCATTTGGGTTAGCTTAAAAGGCTAAATATGAAAAAAAAAAAACAAAAAAACAAAAAATAAAATAAAACCACATAGTAAACTAAACTTAAAGAATTATTCCTTCTTCCATTGAGCTGCACTGGGGGCACACGTGGACAAAAATGAATCCTGCTCTGAGGGATTGGGGGGGGGAGTATTAAACTCATTTGCAGATTTCCTAAGTAGGCCCAAATGCTCCCAGGGAACAAATATTAACTGAAAATGATACAGCATTTACTCGTACTAATAGGCTAAAAAATTAAAAGGAAAATAGCAGCAGTTAAACTCGCAATAAAAATAAAGCACCTACTGTTACAAATGCAAAGCTATTGCCACTCAGGAGCCTAGGCTTTAGGCTTGGCTCAGCTGAAAGCCCAAGGGCTGGACAGGGACCATTCAGAGAGAAGCAATTCCAGTTCCTTAGAAGAAAAAAAGTCTCTAAGCACTAGATAACGTTCCACTGTCAAAAGAAAGGGAGAGGCTTATTCTCTGCTAAAACTACCAAGTATCGTTTAAAAGCAGTTAAGAAAACAGAGGAAAACGGGCGATTTTCAGAATTATCTAAGCTGTATAAGGGTCTTTTTTTGAAGGGCAGGGAGTGTGCTCTATGCAGAAATGCCTCATTTTAATAGAATTTTAAGAGGGAGATCAACCAAATTCTGTAGCTGGCCCTTGGTGATTGGGCCCTACGTGCACAAAGATCCTAGGAGAGGGCTCGGAGGCAAATCGCCTGGCTCTGTGTAGACCGCTCATCCCCATTCACACGCCCATGCGCACACACACTCGTGTGCACACACACAGAGTCACACCCATGCACACCAAGTGTTGCCGTCGCATTTCACAAACTGAGGTAGATTGAAGTTTATTGGAGAAACTTGAATGCGTAGTAGCACAATCATTTTTTTTTTCAAATTACATTTTGAAATTGGAGAGAAATTTAGTTTTCCTATATCCCTGTCTTTTGACTATTTTATTTTCAGCTGGTTGGTTGCAGACTGTATAAATCCTGCTGTGTTTTATCTTTAAGCCAGTCTAGGAGGCTTTATTTTAGGTGGTGTTTTTTTTTTTAAACACTTTTGGGTTTTTTTCCTTGTTTAGTTCATTTTTAGACTTTCAAGGTGGTTTAGTGTGGCCCGTGACGGTGGCTGGGTATGTAGCCTTTCCTTTTCTTTAAATACGGTCATATTTTTGACCTTCCTTGCCCCTCCCTATTGTGGTGATAACGGCTGTGATCATCTAAAAGCATGACAAGCATTAGAAATGGCCCAACAGATCACATGGCCTACAGAACTGAAGGGGAAGCTCGCTCTTTGAACACAATGAACGTCGGCACGGACTGCATGGATCTGCACTGAAGCATTGTTTCTTTAGGCGGTGATGGTCAGAGGCACAAAGGATTCATGCATGTAATCGAGGAGCGCAAACAGTCCAGTCTCCTAGTTCAGCTCGATTCCCCACACCCCCAGCATCTCGCCATCACTTCTCGGTTCTGTTTCCCAAAAGAGGACCACTTCTTTTAAAGCCCATTTAGAAAACAAAAAACATAAGTGGCTTTGCTGCTCTCCTGGTGGCATTGTTCAGGATCATAGAACATTGACTAAATTTGGTAAATTTTGGTGGCGGAAGCCTTAGAAGGCCTGAGTTTTTGTTTTCCAATTTTATTCCCATCAACCACCAGCTCAAAGCACTATGTGCTCTTTGCCCAATTATCTCATCTTGCTTCTGTTGGCCGATCAGATTTTAAATCTGCTTTGTTTAAAAAAAAAAAAAAATTCCGGGACTACTTGTTTTATCAAACGTACAGATTACCAAAAGAAAGGAAAGGTTTTTTTTTTTTTTGTTCGGTTTTTTCTTTTTCTTTTTTTTTTTTTTTTTAAGTGCTCTCTACGCCTGAGGTAGTTCTGTAAAATGCATATTCTTCTCTCCACGCCCTGGCCAACACACTCAACATTTCCCTTAGTAAAAATGCAACCAAATTTTTTAAAAAATGCCACTGGCTTGGGGTACATACATCTAATGTTTAATTATACTTGTTGACAATTTACTGGATATAATGCTAGTCCACCAATCATACCACCGGCTTATTTTGATGAGCAACGGATAAGGAGCAATGCCTTTCTTTCTCTCTGCTCAAGTTGGTAAGGTGAGAACACAAAGCTTAATCCAACCAACTTCTAAAATGGTAGGAGAATATCTAGGACAATAAACACCAAGTCACTTTACAACAAATTTCAAGAATATAACACAAGGGAAATGACTCTTAATTTTCTGCGTCTTGTTGATGTTGCAGTTAGTTCTTCTTGTTGGTTCCTTTAAAGCCAGGTTCCGGAAACTTGAGAGGACATTACATAGAGATTTTTTTAGAAGTCGAATTCAGAATTTGCCTGGTCTTCAAATAAGCTTTTGGGTAGGTGGGACTTCTAATTGTGATTTAGGGATAGGTGTTTCCTCACCCATCTATTATATTTAGTCTCGTTCTTTGGTCTGGCATCTTTTGTTGAGATGGCCGTTTCCTTAACCTCTCTATTTTCGCCTGAGCTGAGGCTGGCCGTTTGGCCCGGAGGCAGCTGCCGCGGCAGCGGCAGAGGCAGAGGCGCCGCCATTGCCGGTCGCACCGGAAGCGGCAGCAGCCGCGGCGGCGGCATTGGCATTCTTCTGCAGCATTTGCTGCTGCCTTTTAACCTGGGCCAGAATCTCTTGGATTTTTCTCTGGGCGAGCTGTAAGAGGACAAAGCCTTGTAAAGAACACTAGGTCAAAACTTAGTGAAGGCTCTGCAGCCATCCCACCAGATCTCTTGTTCTACGAGGTCTTCTATAAGAGAAGGTCAGCAGAAGAGCAAGGACAGAAAGCCGTTTTCTAGGACTGGCATCTGGAGCTAACAGCCAGAGTGTTACCTAGCCACCAACCTCACATGCAGAGAGATGCAGAAGGAGGAGGAGGAAGGAAGAAGAATACTTAAAGGTTTGCCTATCTACGTGTTGATCTACCACCTACCTGGCACGCATAGAAATGGCCAGTTATCTTCACAATCACTTCATCGTTCTCATCAGGGATCTGGTCACGAGGAACCACCACCTCGGCACTGGTCAAATTCTGAAGCTCATTCACCTGCAAGCCAGTTTTAAAATGATTATCGGGCATGTCCTTTTCCTATAATGGGAGCTCTAGTCCTAAGTACATTGCCCAGCCTGTTGTGATCCCTCGTCATGGCATGGAAATGACTGACCATGGATTCCTGAAAGCCACGTTGAAAATGAACGTGATCCTGAGCTGGGAAGGCATAGAGTATAGTCCCAATAATTGCGTTATTGAGACCAGCCTAAGTTTCAGGACAAATGAAGGCGCTGGATTTTTGGCCACATGAGTTCTGAAAGACCGACTTGTAAGTTATATCAAGGTCTCAATCTGTGTTGGACGAGGAAGCAGCCACATCAATGAAAATCATATGTCTCTGAGACATCGTAAAGGCATCATCCCTTCCTAAGAGCAGGAATATTACTTAGAAAGAAAAAAAAAAAGGTAACTTCCCCCCAAACTCAAGTAAAGCTAGTATGACTAGGACTTGTGTAATTATCAGTTTAAAAGCAGCCTGTGTGATTTGAATGGAGCATTTAAGGGAACTAAGTTCTTTAATAAGTATTAAAATACTTAAGTGTCACGTCCTTACAGTTGCTCATGGAAGTGCCAGATGAGTACCTCAAGCACAATTCTTTTCTCGCCACCATGTCCAAATGCCTGACCAGTGTTAGTGAGAGATCTGTGATAGAACAATCGTGATGGAGCAACTGGCCAAGCATGGGCCAGCATCCTGTGCCACCACTGACTGGGGAAACACAGGGATGTCTCTGGTTTGGGCCTGAGGGTGTGCTTCTGGCACATGGCCATGCCCTGACCTTGCTCCTGTCCATGAATAGGCCCAAACTAGTCCTTTGACTCTTTCCCTCTCACAAGATTGCCAGGGTTTCACTGAAACACTTGCCGTTTTTCCTCCTTTGCCAATGACTCTGCCGGCAGCATAGGAGGGCACTTTAATGTGGGCCTCCAGCTTCACCTCTTCCTTGGGGCCAAAGAAGTTCTCTTCCTTCAGCTTTCCATAGATCCTTCCCTGAGCCTGGAAATACAAACACCGACCCCACGATCATGAGGGAGCAAACTCAGGGGCACTAACTTGGTAAGACAAGGCCAATGACTTCTCGGGAATTAACATACTATATCACCTCTAACTTGGGGAAAGCCCTGCATTTAAAGACAGTCGGTGGGCATACACAGCGACGGGGAAGGGCGAGGCACCTGATCCGATCAAGTAGTAACCAAGTGACTGAGACGACGTAGTACCCAGGGCGTTACTTGGCAGCAGTTTAGAATAATTTGCCATCATTGCTTAAGGAAAATTATTTTGTCTGCATTTCAGGCCCCAAAGGTAAAATCCCACATGGTTCCATGCAGCCGAAACACGGTTAAGTGCATTTTCTTTAGGGCTGCCACATTCTATCAAAGCCAACCGCACCGGGTACCAAATCGCCTGGCCTCTTAATGCAGAGGCACCCTGCGTGGGTCAGGAAGAACCCAAATGGACATCTGTTAGACTCAGCTAAGTTGTTTTCTGCTCTGGCCAGGACTTCAAAATGCAATCAGATCTTGAATGAAGTTAGCCCACACTACTGATCCATTTCCAACAGAGCATCAAATGCATAAACCATAGGAACAATCAGCACACCCTGCAGAAAGCACAAGGACACCTATACAGGTGAACTCATGCTGGCATTTCCTCCCGTCACACCAATTACCAGCTAGCTGTACTGAAGAGAAGAGTAATGAAAAACACAGTCAGCTCGGCTGATGTGCCGAGGCCGAATGCAGGGCCTGTGCTCTCTCTGTCCTCCCTCCTGTCCACACAGTCAGCACTGATGCCAAAGCACAGCTCTGATTCTGTGTTAGAGGATTACAGGAAAGAACAAGTCTGTTGTTTCAGTTTCCTCCATTTCATCTACTCTGAAAGTTTCTGGACATGGGAATGGCCAGGCTTTAACATGAGGAAAGGTAGTATGTCGTCCTTCCCAAGTTCCATCAAAATGTTTACCTTCTAGAGACATAAGTGGGGGCCACCGTGCAAATTTAAACAGTACAGCTCTTCTTGGTATTTATAGTCCAGAGAACAGCAAACTTTAAGAGTTAGTGCAAAGGCCAGGAACAAAGCTGGGGCATCTCTCAACGTACCCAACATTTCAAAATCGCCCAATTCAAGGCAATGATTTGTCATTCTCAACAAAAATAGTGAATAAAGCCTTAGCAACAGTAGATAAATGATCAAAAGGCAGTCTGGTATCAAGATTTTAGCCAAAAGGCTTAGTCTGGTTGCAAATACAACATTTCCACTTTGGGGAAAGTAAGAGCTAGAGGGAAAGGGCAGCCTATCAGAGTAAGGCTAGTAGAGATAGTGGGCAAGTCTAGGGCCACCAAGAGCAGGAGGAAATGAATCCATCTGCTACAGGTGAGGGATTTCCTAAGAACGAGGTCTGAAAAACTAGGCACAAATGAATTCCCTAAGGCTGTAACAGCCCAAGCAGATTGGTAAATGTGGCATCTCTGGAAGGCAAAGAATTTGGAATACAAAAGCAGCCTTGAAAAAAATTTAAAGAAAAATATTTTCCTTCTCAAGTTTATTTTAAAATCTTGAGCATATAGAAATGTATTTTGAGTTATTTTGAGGATAACTCCAATTATGCTCATCCAGTTGAACACCACGGCCTTAGGAAAATGGATACCCAATATTGTTCAAGTTCATTTTAAAGGGAAGAAAAAAGTTACAACATTTTGGGAAAAAAAGAGCATCTAATACATTCTCTAGCATGGACACCATCTAACCAGGCTCATTCTGTCCGGGTAGAGCATACCTTGAATTGGGCCTCAGGGGGTCCAGTGATGATCACCATCCTCTCCTTGGCTTCAGGTGTTTCAGGTGGGGCAATCTACAACACAAAACTTGCATCAGCACAGAGCTCTGCTTCTGGTAGTATGTCAACTCCCATATTTTTATGATACTATGAAGTGAATGTTGAGACAAATGGGGATGAGGAAATATGAAGGAAGGAACTTGAATGGTATCAAAAAGGAATGTGTTAAGGCTCCCAAATTACTCACAGAGAAACAGAATCCTAGAGCTGGCGTGCCTAAAGGCCAACTAGTCCAGCCTGTGTTTGAGCAAACTAAGTCTCCTCTTGAAGACTTGTAATGAGCAATAAACTAAAATTTTCCAAAGTATCTCATTCTACTCTGAGATAAGGCATATTTTTCCTTACTTTGAGCCTTAATTTGCTGGTTCAAAGAAGAAAACCAGTTTGTGTACTAGAAGCAGACTGGCCTCCTCATCATCCATGCTATCAAGATGAACACCAACCACACTGAAAATAATGCTTATGATCTGGTGGTGGTCTTTTAGTAGCTTGTTGCTCGTTTCAGAGAGTCAGAAGCCCTTTAGCCTAGAGGCAGCCCACAGCTGCCCACATGGCAGCATCTACAAGGTGCTCATCTCACCTCCTGGGTTGAAGACCTCCACCCAAGGGCACCCCACCACCCAAAGGCTTCCACGTTAAGGGAATTCTCAGCAAGTTTTTCTTTTCAGTAAGCCTAAAGTGATTTCTCTGCCAGTTTCAACTTGAGGTAAGTGAAGGAAAAGCAAGACAAAAAAAGGTTTGAAAAGTCAAGGACACCAAATCCCCCAGAAAGTGGGTCCTGATCAGATGGATCATTTGTTGCCTAAAGCTGTCAAAAGGGAGGGGGCACTCCCCCCCACGTGGCCTAAGGACACGGCATCAGTCACAGGAAATACCTTGATGGAAGCTCCGGCGAAACGAGAGAGCTGCTTGATATGCTGGCCCATCTTGCCAATGATGGCGCCCACAGACATGGCAGGGATGAACAGGTGAACAGTCTCCATCTCGGCCTGTTGCTAAAAGAGGAAGAGGAAGAGACGACATGGAATCACACCTGCCAAGGACCGGACCAACTGGGGTGGGGGGAAAGGAGATGAGGAGACAGCCCCCATCCCAAGAACCTTGGTTTTTATCACACTTCTGAATTCTAGCCAAAGTGCCTTGCACATAGTAAGGACTTGGGGAGTGTGAGCAAAATCCAGGATAAATTTTGTGACCCTGGAGCTAGTGATAGAGGAACCTTGAAGCCAAAGTTTATTCCGAAAACACCTCCCCAGCCTGCAGCCTCAAACCCTCCAGTCTGTGCTGAATGTCAGAGACCACCACTAATGGTTGGCATGACCAAATCCTTTGCCTAAGACCTTGTAGGGTTCTTGTTTTGTTTGTGAAAGAATGTTCTCTACGTACCATTTTTTTATACTTTGACAATATCGCTATAACTTATAGATTTAAAATGTCTAATTGCTGCTTTACAGTTTAAAGAATCCCTGCGGGAGGGCAAAATTAACCAAGTGAAAGGTTAAATAAGTGAAAGATTTCTAGATTCCCTCCACCCCGCCCCCTACTCCATTCCCAAGGTAAATTATGTTGAACTCAGCACATAAATTGCATAACAACCCTTAAGAGTTTCATAAATTTTATAGCTTCCTTTGTGTAGGAGTGATCTGGAATGATAAACAGCCCAGTTTAAAACTGCCAATGAGCCCTCTTGTGTGAGATTATCTAACAGTTGGGAAAACTGGCAGCCTTCCCAAAGACTGGCAAATTAAATGCTAGGCTGCACTCGCACAAGCCACACAGCATTGATGCTGTTGACCATTAGGAGCATCAACACTTCTCTGGTCTAATATCGTAGACAACTACACAGGCGAGGAACGTCTTCTCCAAATGAGCATCACCTCTGGCCATTATACACGTGTATCCGGTCAGAGTATCTGGGACCCTGCTTCTGACTCTGCTTTACCCAATCCTTGCCCCTGTTAGAGACAAAGGCGTCAGAAGACCTCTGGTCCCTCCCCTTGTCATGAGCTTACATCTAAATAAATGAGAACGTCTAGAAAAGGTTGCCCCAGCCCCCACCCCAAACTCCCTTCCTGCCCCATTTCAGTCTTGTTTCCATGGCCTGCCTCTCACTTCCTTTCTACCAATTATTTGTTCAGCCTCCCCTCCCAAACAAATCCTGGGCTCTTCATCCTCTTCCTGGAAGTCACTTTTTTGCCAGCCTATATGGCTGAAGGACACGGTGTGACCCAGCAGGCATGACATTTCCACAAAGAGCAATTCGGAGCAGCTCTGTTCCTGGAAAAGGTTCTCTGTGTTTATTTTCAAATGTACAGGGCCATGACTGGATCAGCCAAGCTGAGGGGCAGCTGTCACTGTAAAGGGGTACCGGGGGAGCACACTCAATGTACTCATTTAATTTTCAGTTCACTCGTGTCAGAAAAAAAACAATGAGACTACGATAAGCTTATGGATAATTAACTAAGAAACTTGAGTAATTATGTTTTTGAGACTAGGCAGAATTCCAGAGGCCAGGTAAAGGACATCCACAGATGTGCCTCTCTTGGGTTTGCTAAGTCGTACAGTATAGGTCCCTGTTAGGTAGTCTCCATTTTTAAATAAAATCTAGCAGATGTCCATATCCTCCATTTAAAAAGGAATTAACTTGATCTACTTCATTAAAATCCTTTTATTAATGAAGTTCTTTACACACAGACTACCTTGTGTTAGAGGAATGCTTGTCTTAAGTGTGCCTTTCTCTAGAGCTGTCTCACTTTCTTTTCCAAAGTGAATGGATATCAGGACTACCTCATTTCCCATGGACTAAACCAAGCCAATTCAGGAAGCCTGCCAGCAGTTGAGAAAATGGCTGTGGGGATGCTAGCCAACAACCCCCCATCTTTCCCTAAATTTTGGTAAATACCAGAGTTCTGAATTCTCTTGATTAATGCTTTTGTTGTACTGGTTGTTGTCAAGTTGTTTAAGTAGTATCTGACTCTTTGGGACCTCATTTGGGATTCTCTTGGTAAAGATACTAGAGTGGTTTGCAACTTCCTTCTCCAACTCATTTTACAGATGAGGGATTGAGGCAAACAGAATTAAGAGACATCTAGGGTCATACAGCTAAATAAGTGTCTGAGGCCAGATTTGAACTCCTGACTTGGTCTGCCACTCTCTCCACTCCACTACACCGCAATCTCTAGCTGCCCCCATTTTTTAATGATAAATAATTTTTCCCCAACATAGCAACTCCTGTCAACCCTGGTTAGCATAGAAAAACAGTTAAGCAAAATAAGTAAGTCAGCAATGTCATGTGAGAATATATACGACATCCAACACCCAGAGTCCCCTACCATTCTGATGAAATAGCCCTCCCTGCTATTACAAGATAAAGGATAGCCAAGAGGAAGAAGGTGTGTTTCATTATCTGCACTCTTGAACCAGTACTGGCCATTGCTTTAGGCTGAGTTCAGCTCCTTTTTTACAAACGATTTTCCTGACCATGTGGTTAAACTAGTGGGCTCCATGTGCCTCAAAACCAGGGTGCTCCTTCAGAGACTTATTTCATTGTGTTACGGAAAACTTCAACACATAGCTCAATGGAAAGAGAGCCCAGAGGTCCACGTTCATTTGGGGGAATAAGAATGCACACAACCATGTTATTTCTTCAACCACTGCCCCCAAAACCACCCACACATGGATGGAATTGATGACTACTTCTCCATGGCAAGACCTAAGGACTGAGAAGAGTTCACCAAGAACCAGGCGCCAGTAGAATATCAACATTTTTACAAAGACTTGGGCAGACAGCCGTATTCAGAGTATACATGAGATCAGGATGACTAGACCAATCTACATTCACCCCTCCCTAAAAATCCACTTACCAGGAGCCTTAAAAAACAAAGTGCCCACTCATAATTTAGTCTCTTTTGCAGAATGCAGATTTGTCCTTTACTTTCCAGGAATCTCAGCAAGGCTGATTTCCATCTGTTATTTCCTTTCTAGCCAGATGCCTCCTCTGCATCTCACTTGTGGCGTTCCCAACTTGGGTGGTTAAGACAGCAATATGATTCTCCACATGATGGTTTTGATTCAAACACAGTTAATTTCTTAGCTAATTTCACTTCCAAATCCCTGTTCAAATGTACTTATTTTTAAGATTCCCATTTCAACGACTCCATTCAGAGGCATCTTTACTTTTGTCAATGAGCAATATTTTCTAAATGCCATTTTCCCAAAAGAAGGCTTATTTTAAGGATGCTGTTCTAAGCCTAGATATATCAGCTTTGGTTGTACATTGGACAGACTTGGTGGTGAAAAATTTCAAAGTAACTCTAAATTTCCTCTCATTAATGAGCCAAGTTAGAACTTGAGGAGGTACAGCTAAAGATTTATTTTCTGTCCAGCTATCAATGTGGACCATTTCTGATTATTCATTGGTCCATATTTTACAAGGTTGTAAGCACTGTTGCCAAAGTGATATGCTCTTCCCAGTAATAAAATAAGGATTTTATATGCACGTACAAGCGTGAGCATGCACACACACACACACACACACACACACACACCCCACCCCACCCCACACTGCATCCTGAAATCAGAGGGAACAGGAAAAGGGGAGGGAAGCATGATTCTCATGATTGTAGCAAGAAGCCCTTGAACATGAGCAAAAAACCAATGGAAGAAGCAGCCAATGGTGTGCGGGGGTCAGGGGAGGCTTTTAAAATTGTCCCAGGATTTTCAAACACATGGTGTGATTGGTACATCGAAGACAGAGAATTCTTGATCTGTAGGATAAACCTAGAATACAACGGTTATTAGAAAGGGGAGGAGGTGTGCAGACTGAGCAAGCATGCATTCAAGATATGATAAAGCAGGTAATTCCTGAAGGATTTCCAAATACTTTCTCCTCTTCCAACGGTCCACCTGCCTAACCCTTCCCCACTTCTGGACACTTCAAGGACAGCCTCTTGGCTTCATCCCATCCATGCATCTGGTCATCTTGCTGAAGCAGCTCGGAGAACAGCAGACAAGGTCCAGTCTTCAAGGGAGACAGTGACACAGACAGGAGAAAGAGCCGTGAAGAGGGGTACACAAGGATGCTGATGCCGCAGGGCCAGAAAGAAGCGCACGCCCACACACACGCCAATACCCCCAGGCAGAGAAAGGTGTGCAGAAACCCCAAAGAGACACACACACACGTTTCACATAACAGAAAACAAAACGTTTTGTCTGTGTCTCTCTCTGGGTCTCTGGCCATGGTTATTACTGGTCCTGAATGCCTTTAGTACTAATAAAGCATGTGTTAACAAAGTTGGCAGAGCCCTGGTTCCCATTGGAGGCAGAGAGAAGGCAGCTGGAAGCCAAACAAGCGAAGACAGTTGATTTGCAGAGACAGCTGTTCCTGGACTGTAGGAAGGGCTTCCATACGTACCTACCTGCCCATTCTCCTAAGCACAAGTTTCTGATGATGTTTCTCTGGTCCTTGGAGCTGGGGGGAGGGGGAGGGAAGGAAAGGGACAGACTGCATGCTTTCTAAATGTACATGCGCATACACACACACACACACACACACACACACACACACACACACACCACACCCAGATCTCTCCCATTTGAGAGAATTCTTCTTTACTCAAAAGACTCATTTCAGTATTCTGACCCCAAAATCTGGGAAGTACACATGCATCTCCTGTGGAGGACCTACTGGGGAAAAGAGGATGAGGGGCAAAAACCATCCTGAAACAAAGCCCAGGAAAAGAAGAGAACAGTTACTACATCTAAGAAATCAAATAAATGCAGTTACGGAAACCTTTGGCACCCAGGCAGGCACAGTGCCCGTCGTCTAGACACTATAAAAACACTTTCTATGACTTTGCTGAGATTTCTAGGAAATGTGCACAGGGCATTTTCTTATCTCTACCTGGCAGGAAGCCTGAAACCTTTGATCATCAACGTGGACCCTGCCACAAGGCCAAAATGGGGGGGAGGTGTAATTTTTCTTTTTCAGGGTGTG